CTCATGCTATGTATGTGTGTGTCTGTTGTGACTTGGGAGGATTAGTTGTTTTTTAAATAAAAAAAATAAGAACCTGCTGCCTCACTCAGTAACTGGTCAGTTTGTGCACAGTACTTAAGAGCTGAATGCAGTCCTTGTTTGTTAGGTTGCTTTTTGGGTTGTTTTTTTTTTTTGCTTGTAAAATCTTCAACCATGCTTAAGTTACTTTCATTGGAGTAACAGTATACACAAATTTCCTACGTGCAGAATGTTCCATTCCAACTAAATAACAATAACTCATTATCTTAACTGTTCTTGAAGAACACTGCCAAATAAAGCTTTCAGAGTTTCTGCAATGATATGATTTTAGGCTGGATGAATAAAAACAGTTAAACCATTTTTGAGACGTTCAAACCCACTGCTATTTCAGAATAGAGTTATTTGTGGATTTTAATTTTCCCTTTGTAGGGAAAAAATAAAAAGTAAAAATAAAACACTGCAGAAAGGCATGCAGAAAATTGTGGCAGAAACTTTTTTGACTCTGAGTCAGTCTGTATGTATGCTAAACTCGTATCAAACATCTTCCTTCTATGACAAACTTATAAATTGGGAATTAAGCTGTTCTGAACTGCTGGTCCTGGAGCAGACACTTTCTGGCATTTGGCAAAACTCTAGAAATCATTCTGTGCTTTTTCAGATACTTCTAGAAAAAGAGCACAAATTGATTCTTGCGATAACACTTGTCGCTCATCTTCATCTTGTCAGTTTGGAGGAATCTGCACAGAATCTGTAATGATAATTTCTTTGTAAAGTGAAACATAGCTGGACAATCAGAAGGTTAAAGGTTCAACATACAGTGTTCACCATGCTAGCAGCTTGAACGTCTCTCTAAATTTTTGAACATGAGAAGCATAATATGATAAGAAGCAAGAATTCATCCAGCTGTTTGCAGAGTGTATTCAGCAGTGTTTTCAAGACGTACGTGTGTGCTCTAATCACTTATTCTTAATTTCTCTGTATGGATTAGGTTCTTCACTTCAAGATTTGCTGTCAGTTTACCTGTGTGAATGATACAGAAACAAATATGTGCATATAAAGCAGGCTCCCACTGATGTTTGTGATGTATGCATACGTATCAGAGGGCAGGACCTGGTTCATGCTGAAATTCTGGCTTTCCCACAACTGCAGATCTGTGCTTGAGGAGAGCAGAAATCTTTGTGTGAAAACATCCCAGACTTGCTCTGAAGGGAGGTGTTGATTATCTAAAGCATGCAGATGCTGTTTTTTCAAAACACATTGGCACTTGAGGACAACTAAGTAGACTTCTTTAAGGAGCTAACGTGTAATTATTAGTTGTCTTGGTAGACTCTGGCATTTGTCTCTGGGTGAATCCAGTTTTTGATTGAGGTGGTGTACATGGATAGAGTACTAAACAGTTTGAGTTCTGGTTTTAAGACCTAATTAGGCAGTACTGGCATAAAATGAGAAAATGAAACTGGGCTAGGAACTTATAAATGTTGTGTATGTAAATGTACGCATATGGATATTTATATGTGCATATCTGCATATTGGTATCACACAGATTCCTGCTAAGCAGATGGAACAACTTAGAACTCAGTCTCTGCTGTTTTCTCTAGCTTTCCTTGTTCCTGGATGTGGTCTTTCAAATCTTGTTCTATAATAGATGAATTTCCTTTCCAAAAACTCCTGTTGGGAACCTTACTGCAAGAAAATGACTCAAAAATTATTTATGGCTACATTTCCAGGGCTTGTGTGAAGCCACAGCAGCTCTTCTCAGTAGTGCTATGTGCTGTCAGTCCTACCCAGACTCAGTGGCATTGGCAGCTGAGCTGCACAGGGAGACTCTGTGGGCCCCTTTGTTGGGGTGCTAATTTGGAGAAGTGGTGTTACAGAGGAGATCGTGTGGCTTAAGGGGATGTGGGAGTGGAGTGGAGTTGGGGGTGGGGTGTGAGTCATCCAAGGAGGGACTTGGGGTCTGAAATGGGGATGGAGGCTGGAGGCTTTGTGACTGACTCAGTGCTGGCTCTGAGGTTTGTCTGCCTGTACTAACCACGCTGGTGCACCCACGA